CGTCCTCATGTGAAGCAGTGATTGAGGCTAGCTCTTTCTAACGGACCCAACTGAATAGGTATTTTCCTTCACCTGAGGACGGAAACAGATCCAGTTTCCGAAACGTCGTGTTTTTATTTGTTATCTTAAAAACAAGGACGATGGATAAAGTCCAGAAACCCAGTATATCAGTGTGTTATACACCATCGTCGGAATCCTATAATAAATAAAATTTCGTTTTGTGATTGAACCCTTTCAAGAATAGTGGCTATTATATGTACCACCTACTTCAAAATTAAAGAAACTCACCATTTTACCACAGTGTGTTTCAGTATTTCCTATGAATCTCGGAATAAACAATGATTATTTCCCTTAAACAACATTAAACGGCGAATATTCATAATGTCGAATTTTTTGTGTCTTCTGAAGTGTGAACTGAATTTCGAAACGTTACTCAGAATATACCGCAGCGATCTCCTGAACAGGTGTTTATGAAACTTCGTGATAAAAATCTCTGTTAACGATCAGAAGATATCACAGGATGTAGTTCTGCAACGAAATTACATAAGAAATACAGTGCCAAAGAAGATAGGAAGGAGCGTACAGACATAAAATGAGGAACGCGGGGGAAAAGAGAGAGAAAAGACAAATATAAGAAGGTAAAACTATCCTGTAACAGGCCATGGAGGCCCGTAGGTTTCTGAGACGTCGAGGCTCACACATTTTCTAGACAGTCGGCTCAAAGATGGCGGCAAGGTTGTCAGCTTTACGCGCCGGCCTCCCTATACACCCAGAAGGATTCCTGGTACTCATTTCTGTTAGAGGCTGAGTCGACCCCAGTGCCACAGTGCGGCTGGAAGGGTTAGGTAAATTTAAAAATCCAATGACCTGGTCGGGAATCGAACCCGCGACCTTCCGGCTTGTAGTATAGTGTCGCGTGCCCCTCAAAAGATAAATAAATGAACAAAATTAAAAGAAGACGGAATTTTTACATTTAGGTCTATTAACATGCGTGGTGTGATGTGACAAAAGAAGATACCACTGTGACAGAATTAACGAAATGTCCTTATTCGCATTTTTTGACGGGAAATAAACCTTGAGAAGCTGTTGGAGCAAGTACTGATACCTTATGGCAGTTGTACCAACAGTTGCTGCTGGTGTGCAGACAAATACTGCTGTCTCTCTCTTCGTGCTTCAGACTGTTAATGTGGTTTCAGTAAAGTGCTACAAGCTTAAGAAGAGTTGTATTTGTTTTGCTGAGTCATACACTAGAGACAACGAGATAAATTCCAATGTCCTCTTATTAGCAGTAGTTTAAATAAGTACATAGATGCAAGGCCTCATGTGTGTAGAGTTTTGTAATGTTTGTCTTAACTCTCACTGATACTTTATGTTGTGTTTGGTTTATATATGTCCTGTCATGTGTTGATTCTGATGCCCGGAGATAAGAACTAACTCTATCGATTAGGCCTTGCTGAGTAGTATTTTGCCTGAGAATGGAGGCACAGTCTAGCCTCCGAAACGTTGTTTTTAAGCTAAAAGAAACGGGAAGATGGGTACTGTCCAGGAAGTCAGTAATTGTGAGTTCCACTTATAGTTTTCTGTGCTATGAATCATGTATATCGGTTAATGGGTACCAATGTTTTGAAGGAACATATTGTCACATGTTTTAGTGACCTGTAGACGGGGTTTGCATTGGTGAATCGATTTATTTGATGCTCACGAGTCATAACTACAAATAATTATAACACTCTCAAGATTGCTATAACTATAATATATGAAATAACGTCTTCAGCACTTTAACTATTTAATCGTCCATCCTCGATCGCCTCTATGGTCTGATGGTCAGAGTTCCTGGCTACAGTTCCGGAGGTCCGGGTTTGATTCCAGGCTCTACCAGATTTTCTGTGAAGTAGTGGATGTGGAACGGGGTCCACTCAGCCTCGTGAAGATAATTGAGGAGCTATTTCAAGAAAATAGCGACTCCGGTCTATAAAACCGAAATTACCGGCCGTGGGGGTTCGTTGCGCTAACCACGCAGCACCCTCTATCCGCTAAAGTTGGCACTAACTTCGCCGAAAAGCGGCGGTCACTCGGTCGGTATAGTTCGCTTGAGGACTACAACCACGGAGTTTGTTTTTATGTGTTTGTAATCATCCATTCTCAATCCTCCGGAACTCTTTTTCTCGAACTCTGTCTCTGTATCTCGGCCTGAGCTGGTTTCAAGCGGACCGGAGACAGAACATCGGGTACAACAGTTCATTCCTTTGTGGTTCACCGTTGCCATGAAAACGAGTTTCAACGCGCCGTTGTAAAGGTAACACATTCTTTGCATAGTCGTTGCTTATCAACGGACTCTTCCAGCTTTTCGTCCTATAAACATGTTGCGACAAGTCTTTACTTTGCAATGGCCGTCTTTTCTGGCTTCATTAAACCGGCTTTCAGGCGTCATGTCACAATATATTTTCATGGCTTAAGGAGACTATATGCTCTTCCCAACTATCTCATAACCCAGTACTCTAGAGCACAAACCTTGAAATTTTACAAGAATGCAAATATCTAGAACATGACAAAAGAAAAAAATATTGCTGTTTAGGATTTAAGGTAATCGCAGCAGTGACTATGAAGAATACTATCTTTTGGGATATAAGGAAGTGTGATCCTTTAAATCCCACAAACGTTTCGGTGATTGCAGGTTTATGTCTTGACTTAATCTTAAACCCAGAAGACAAGGAATACTTCCCTCTGAAATGTCGGTTGACCCTTCAAAAGATATTACTGTAACATGGATTGTGCCTCAGTATAGTTCGATACATATCTGTCAACATTTCGGGGGAACGTACCTCCTCCATTTTCAGGATCCTTTTACACTCAATATGGAGGCAGCAGGTTCCCCTGAAACGTTTCAACTGTCCACCAGACTACACGGCGTCACATCTCTGGAAACAGTAATTTCCACAGTCCCCGGCATAAGAACCTCAAACCTCAAGGGTGGGCAAAACCTGAAACACAAACTTTTTGTCGTGGTCCTAATATTAACGCCTAATTCTTGGGTACAGTCTTTATATAAGTTCCATGAAATTATAACAACCTGGTTCTATTTTTTCTTTCCCATTGTAATTTCTTGAATTAGAAAGAAAAAAATTCTTATCTCTCATCCGACGGAAAGTCTTCCTGGAATAACTTCTGTACCACATGTCGCCTATATTAATAATCATAATATGTTGGATAGCTTGGAAGGACGAACGTATACGGTGTTTTCAAGTGTAAATTTCAAAATAAAGATTAACGAATGTTATGTCAAATTAGGTATTTTTCTATCTTGAGACTGTGATACACTAAAGGACAATTACACTTCTATAGAATTCCCGCTAGATACAATTGAGTTGTAAATGAAGTGTTATTTTAATTGTTTACTTCTGGCCTACACATATCTATTGTAAATATTGTAATATGTTTAATGTATTATGTGTGTGTGAAATTTAAAACTGTATAATTTAAATATAAAATTGATATTTTTATGGTTACATTTCAGTAGAATTATAACCTTATATATATCAGCTCCTATTTCCATGTTATGTATCTATAAACCACAGTAATGTAAAATACAAAATTATCCCTGTGTCTAATTCAGCAGCATCCGTAAGGACGTGTGGGGGAGTGGAGGTATAGCTCTACACGTTCTTAACCTTGGAACTAAATGGAGGTGAGTGGGTATGCCCCTTTTGCTTTACTCCATGGGAAATAGTTGGTACCCTCTGAACAAGAGGATCGCTGGGCCCTAAATTTGACCCTGTAGGGAATCGAATCGCAATTGCTCAGTCATCCAGCCCATATCGTAGCCTCTGTACAGACTCCAGTAATAAAGGTATACCAGGTTATCTTTGGAATAATATGAAATAATTTAGAATGGAGAAAAAAGAAAAAGCACCCAAAAGAATCTCAACTAAGAATTTATAAGATCCTGATAGTGCCAAAATTGCTGTAGCCTTAGTAAAAATGCAGACTGATGTATTGGTAGGGCTTTAGATCTGAATTTGGAAAGTCGTCTATTCGAATATTGGACGGGGCAACGCTGTCTTCACTGAGGTGGTTTTTCTCTTTCGCTCTATGCAAATTCCGGGATATTACGACAGAGCACTACCTCCTTCTTCCAATTTCTTTCCTATTCTTCTGTCATCCTGCCATCCCATGCTATGTAGTACAGGTTCTGCATCATTTTTTTTTCTGTGGCGCTACAGCCCCAATTTGGGCCTAGGCTTACCTCCATGAAACTCTCCGTTTCAGTTCGGTTTACTAGATCTTACACATTCGGTAGGACTCCTTGGGCGGGTGATCAGCTCGTCGCAAGGCCTCTACCTGTAGACAAACACAGAAAAACGCACACAAACATCCATGCCCTGAGTGGGATTTCGAACCCACGATCCCGGCTACCGAGCGAGCGAAGACAGTGCATGCCTTAGACCGCTCGGCTACCGTGACCGGTTCAGGTTCTGCATCATAATAAAGGTTAAATATGGCTGTGAAACATGGATAATTAGGAAGAACATTAAAGTAAAATACCACAGAAACAAAATTTCCTCGGTTAGCAATAGGGGGCCAAAAGACAAAACAATATGCCAAATAAATTAGACAAGAATTGTAGCTTAACTCAGTATACGAAATAATAAACCATACATATAGCTGGAACTGAAGTAAGTACCAAAACAAATACTGAATTAAAGCACATGAGGAGGAAGATACATACGTCAAACAAGACACAGAATATGTTGGGAAAGACGGAAGGACATAATCCCTGGACATAGTTGATAATGACCACATAATATTACATTTTAGCTGTTTAGTTTTTGTATGAAAAACAGCGTTTTCCAAAGGCCAACAGACGTGAGGGATGCAGATTTGGCGACAAAAATATTGAGAGTGTATAAATATTCGTGGTGTTTCTGTGGCAATGAGCTTCCTAATTATTCAGTGATTGAACAAATATTCTTTACGGATAATATTCTTTGCTCTTGCTGCAGCAGAGCCTCTTGTGGTGATTCTCCTCAACATTTGAGGAAGTGTGTACGGGCATAGTGGACAGTTCTGGACGTTCTGGAGGTTTGGCTGATCGAGCGTGGACAGATACTTTTGGTATGTAAATGTGTGCATATTATTAAAATCTTAAACATTCCAATTGCATATATTGGATTTGAGATTGAAATTAATTTCATGCACTTACAGGCTGACCTTGCGAATACCGTGACAATTACGCTTACTCTGAGAATCTGTAGTACCAACGTCTGGTGGTGAAATTTTAATTGACTAAAAGGTGGAATGTGTTTATGCATTCCGTAATTTTAAGACACTTGGATTATGCAGAAGTTACAATAGGCAGTGTTCGATTTGAGGTCTTCACGGCGGTGACCCAAGAACACTGTCTTCTGGAACGTGAGGAGTTTTTTGCAGTTCGGTACAGTCTGCTTGCTTGTTGCTTGGGTTACGCTTGGACTCTGTACATGCAGGGAGTACATTCCTCCTAAATGTCCGTTAATTTCTACCGGACTACACGGCATCACATACCAGAAGATAGTTCCCTTTATATGAAGCAAGTTTAGTTTTCACCAGGTTTAAGTTTATGCTTTAATTAGGGTAACTCAGCATCATAAGTCAGCAGTTCATGTCAATCCCTATGCCCCAGTGTAAACCCGCCTTAAGAAGGAAATATAAGAACAAAGAAATGAGGGGGCATACCAAACCAACGGCCTGGTATGTTATTGTCATACATATAAGTTGTTCAGGATTTGAGCAGTGCTCAGTAGCCTGGGAGTTCATGACTGGAACTGTGAATTCACGGTAGATCTGGTGTTCTCACTACAGTGAGCATGAAGAACACTGTCTTTGGCATATGACGTCATGTAGTCTGTTTAAATTTGTTGGTACGTATCTACCAAACCCTATGGCATCGCATAGCAGAGGGCCGTCATTCACCGACGTGAGAACCTGAAATCTGAAATGTTTTCGGGGAATGTTATGAAGTTTTGTTCGTACGTAGAGGAAAGTTTTGATCATTATGCTGCAATTCAATTTCGTTTGCGCTTAAAGCGTGAAATTCGTAGTGCTTTCGAAGTATATATTTGACACTGTGTAACGCAATGCTCTGTGGAATTTTGTGAGCAGAGTTTGTTAGATCCTTTTCTAGAAACGGAATAATTAGCCGTTTCCCAAGTTTTAACAGCGGTAAAAATGAACACTGATGTTTCATTGTTTGAAAGGCTCTGCCATTTAGTCTTTCAGAGCTGAAGTTTATTCAGCGTAAACTTGGTGTAATGCTATTAAGGGCTGTTTCTCAGTGGGATTTATGTTTCTGCTTTATTTTTAATGGCTTGTTATTTACTCTCCAGCTTTGTAGCCAATATTTCTGCCATCTTGACTCTTCCTGAGCGTAAATGAAGTCCCATCTAATTGAAACCCTGGTATGAACGAAACATCCTACTAGATATTTCATTCTTTAGCTTATTTCTAGACCAATGGCGAGTTCTGAAAAGAACTCATGACACACAGGGGTGTATAGCTTAAAAGGGTTTTCAGAGTAATTCATACATCGTGTAGTAGACAACCCAAGGGAAGAAACGATCTCAGCGAGATCTCCAGAATTATTGAGTCTTTGGACTTTGTCCTTCGTCCGGTGTTCTAAAGGACGCAATGTTTCGTAGATGAAGCCAAGTGAGAAACCAGCAAGACGCGTTAGAAATTGTAGGAATATTTCTTATCTGTCATTATACAAAATTTCTAATATCTAGCGCCAATGATTAATTATATATCGCCATCAAACCAAAACGTAAGTTTGTCTGTGAATTTCGCACGTCCGCCATATTATAGCTTTACGTTTCAGAAGGAAGTCACTTTAATAAATGTTGTGTATACTTTAATATTTTATAACGAGAATAAAGTTCATATAATTTGTATACGTGTAGATGGTGGTGTTCTGGGTTCCAACACCGCTTAGTCTTGTAGGTGCAGCGCTGATCTATGTTACAGTGAGGTTACTGAAATCAATTTTGAGGTTAGATCACATTTCGGCAGCGTCTACACGAGCGCACAAATTGCGTCCGTTGTAGAAATAAGAGAGGCGAATGCTACGCTTTCTTCTGGCTCCATTGCAGATAAAATACTACGCACCGCATTCAGCAACTGTGTGGTGTCCGCAGCAAAGTACTATGCTACAAGCCGGAAGGTCGCGGGTTCAAGTCCCGATGAGGTCACTGGATTTTTTTCAATTGACCTAATCCTTCCAGCCGCACTATGGCCCTGGGGTCGACTCAGCCTCTAACAAAAATGAGTACCAGGAATTATTTAAATAATTTTCCTGGGGAGTAAAGCGCGGGCGGCGCGTAAGGCTGACAACCTTACCGCCATCTTTGAGCCGATTGTCTAGATAATGTGGGACCCTCGTCTCACAAATCTATGGGCCTTCACGGTGTGCTACAGGGATAGCTTTACTTTTTTTATCACGGATCTCAAGGATACTGAAACCAGGAATAACTGTGCTGGCGAAGGCCAGTAGCAATTCAACCGACCGAGAGTCTAGAGAAGAGTTGAGAGAGAGTCTGCAGGCAGTCAGTTAGGAGTTGCAATAGCTGAGGTCGGGGACAGTTCGGGAACTCAGAGAAACGGCAACGTCCGCCGTTGGAAGCCGTTACCAAGCAACGTAGTGAAGACCGTGACTGAGAACACTGGTCTGTGTGTGATAGTGATTTTTAAAGTGTCCAGTAAAGCTGACTACGAACCTAAACACTTAACACGTGACAATAATGTAGCTACTGACAATTTCGTAAGATAAAATAAGGTAAAGTTGCTCGTGTGCTTAATTAAGCACTATGCCATGAAGACGTTTGGGGGATTGGAAATATCCATCCATCTATGGCTCTACAGCCCTTGTGGACTTGCCCGCTTTTTCAGTTTCTTAATCCATACACAGTCGGTAGGACTCCTTGGATGGGGGATCAGCCCGTTGCACACAGAACAACACAAATGGAGTGGAAGTGTACCTTCACTATTCTTTACCTCAGTACTAGATGAAAGTGAGTGGTCAGCTTCACGCCCCAGCGGCTTTCCTTCCCGGAAAAGAGCCCCTGTACCCACTGGATATGAAGCTGGGTGAGTAATAGATTCGGTCTGGACGTTGTGGAGAAGAGAAAAATCTTACCTCTGCCGGGATTCGATCTACGACCGTCCAACCTGTAGCTCATTTTTATACCGACTGAGCTATCCCTACTTCTGAACATTGCAGGATACCCTACAAAGATAAAGGACATTTCCAAGAAGCGTATTTATACAATTTTGTACATTTTAATAACATATTATTCACGAAATGTTGCGAGACATTATGTCCCACCTAGTCGAGCGTCAGGTCCTACCAGTGGGGCGCGTCCCATTTGTAGAGAGACACTGCACAAGACGTTGGACAAAGCCCAGAAAGCCAATAAACTTCAGTGTAATGTACCGCCAACAAAATCCTTTATGACTAGTTGTATACGTATATCCCCATTATAACGATTACCAAGCAATGCCTTCCGAACACTGAACAAAGTTCACAGAACATGGCGTATTCCTTTCTTCCGTGGCAAACAGCGGCGTCCTTGTCTTCCGTTCACCTTCCCCTAACTGCACAGTTGTTCCATACAAAACACATTCTGTGGTTTGTGCAATGCATCCGTGTAAACGCTGCCGTGTGGTGGTATATTTTGGGATGAAACATTGTTTGTATCACTAACATGGACTTCACTTCGTTATAAATTTATATGAGATATATACTTACTTAAATGTGGTGTTGGAGAAAGATGGAGAAGATCAGTTGGACCGATTATGTGAGAAATTAAGAAGTGTTAATTAGAGTCAGTGAGCAGAGGAATATCCTGCACGAAATAAGAAAATGGAAGGCTAATTGGATTGGTCATATCTTACGCGGAAAAGAAGTTATTGAAGGAAAGATAGAGGGGCGGATAGAAGTGACAAGAAAACGAGGAAGAAGACGTAAGAAGATGCTGGATGACCTTGGGGACAGAAGAGGATACTGTCATTTGAAGGAGAAAGCTCTAGATCGCATTAAGTGGAGAAATTGTTTTGGAAGAGACTGTGGACCTGTCGTCTGACAGATTACTGATGATGATGATGATGATGATGATGATGATATACTCGTACTTACTTACTCATGGAGCTGAGCCCTTCTGTAGGAGCCGCCAATTTTGCAGCTACTCAAGGATTTTCCAGCATTCTATGGAACCCGAAGATTCATTACCGTCTTCACAAGAGCCCTCCACTGGTCCCTATCCTGAGCCAGATCAATCCAATCCATCCCATCCTATATCTCTAAGATCCACTTTAATATTGTTCACCCACCTACACCTTGGTATTCCCAGTGGTCTCTTTCCTTCTGGCTTTCCCACCAATATCCTATACGCATTCCTCGTCTCCCCCTTTCGTGCCACATGCCCTGCCCACCTAATCCTCCTTGACTCGATCATTCTAATTTTACTTGGAGAAGATTACAAGTTATGAAGCTCCTCATTATGTAGTTTTCTCCAACCTCCTGTCACTTCATCTCTCTTCGGTCCAAATGTTCTTCTCAACACCCTGTTCTCAAACATCCTCAGTCTGTGTTCCTCCCTTAATGTCGGAGACCAAGTTTCACACCCATACACAACCAGAGGCAAAATTATAGTTTTGTATATTCTAATTTTTATGTTTTTGGACAGCAGCCCAGAAGACAGAAGGTTCTGGACTGAAAGGTAGCAAGCATTAACAGAGTTCAATCTCCTGAGGTATTTACATTTAGAAAAACATTCATCTTATAGGAGTAATCATTTATCTAGAGGCCGGCATTTGGATGACAGAGAAATTTAAAATTTACTTGTATCGTGACTTGTCATATCGTTCACATTACTCGCGCACGAGCACGAGTAATGTGGACTTGCCTAAAGAGTGTCCCCTGTGGAGGCGGGGCCGATTATCTCCACCGTAGCCCTGCGAGTCGTAGGAGGCGACGAAAACCGAAACCAGTGTCTTGGGGTATAATTGGGCCACCCTGTTCCTTGTTGATATAAATACGGGAACCTGGCCCTCCAGGTTGTGGGAGTCTCGAATTTTAGAGA